GTCCCGTCCATGAGCGTGCCGTTGTAGTGGTAGCGGACAAAGTCCCCGGTCACAGCCCTGCGCTTGCAGGACTCCGGCACCTCTAGGTGCTCCAGGAAGACGCCATCCTTGGGGTTGTGGAAGTCCACCAGCAGCACGCTGAACACCAGCGAGGCCTGCGGTGGGATCACGGTCCCTGGGGAGGGGACACAGGTCAGGCTGGACAAGGGTCCTGATGCACCGCAGGGGGCTCTCCGCAGAGCTGGGAGGGAAGGGACCGGGTGCGACAGGGTGATGCCCAACTCACCGTAGCCCTTCTCCCCGTAGGCAAGGAACGGGGGAATGATGATGCTCCTCTTCTCCCCGGCGCACATGCCCAGCAGACCCTGGTCCATGCCCTTGATCAGCCAGCCGGTGCCCACGTAGGTGTCGTAGGTGCTGTCCTTGCTGTAGCTGGTGGGGAGGAATGAGGGGGGGACGGCTCCGGGGCCACGCCAGCTCCCCCGACCTGAGCGGTGCCGCACGGGAGGCCAGTTTGGGGGTCACGGAGCTGCACTGGGGTGCAGGGAGGGAGAGCACGGGGGGGAGGCTGCTCTGACCGGGGTGCAGCGTGGGCCCCCACGTCCTGCCCCAGCCCAGCATCTCCTGGTCCCTGCCATCCCCGGTGCCCCCAGCCCCAAGGCAGAGGGTGCACCTGAGCTCCAGCACCCTGTACCCCAAGGCGAGGGTGCATCCCAGCGCCGGTGCCCCGTACCTGGAGTCGAAGGGGGTGCCATCCAGCAGCGTGCCATTGTAGTGGTACCGCACAAAGTCCGAGTTCTCCACCGTGCGGTTGCAGTGCTCTGGTTTGGAGAGGGTGGTGATCTGCAGCTTGTCATCCTTGTTCCAGATGTCCAGCATGACGACGTCAAAGTACAAGGTGGCATCTGGGGGGATCAGCCCCGCTAAAGGGGCAGCAGCGAGGACAGAACACCTTAGGTGGGCCCAGCGCCCAGCCCAGGCAAGCCAAGGGCTCTGTCCCCTAAAGCCCCCCGAGCCCGCGGCTGCCTGGGGCTGCTGGCCACACGTGCCAGCCCCCAGGAGAGCAGAAGATCCCGGGGGGGCAGGACCCCTTTTTCCCAAGGAAGCCCTGCTTAGGCACCACTTGCCCTGGCAATGGAGCCACCCTTCGCCAGCACCTGCCAGCTGGGCACCGGACCCCTGCTCCCGCTAATGCCGGCCCCGGGGGGTTTTCTCCCTCCATCCCCCCGCCGTGCTGCGGCCCCTTACCCACGCCGATGCTGCCGTAGCCCAGGTGGGGGGGCACAATGAGGTGACGCCGCTCGTTCACGCACATGCCCTGCAGGCCCCGGTCCATGCCGGTGATCAGCCGCCCGACGCCCACCACGCCGGCCACCGTGGCCCCTCGGTCGTAGCTGGGGCAAAGGGACAGACCCGTCAGCGGCGCGCGGGCAAAGGGCGAAACCCCCAAAGCCGCTGGCACTGGGGGTGCTCAATGCCTGCACCGAGGGCTTGGGGCAGATCCAGAGCCAAACCACGAACCCCGCGAACGCCGAGGGATGGCGCGGGGCTCCCAGGAGCCTGCCCACCATGGGGGCAGAGCGGGGGGACGGGGCTGCCCCCTCCCCAGGCATGTAGGTAACCCACTGCAGCCAGCGGGTCCCCGTGCTGCAGGCAGAGCCCGCAGCTCACCCCCACAGCAAACAGACATTGATCCCGACGGGATCAATCCTGCACTGCCCGGGATGGAGCTGCCTCCCAGGGCACCGGTCAGGGCTCTGGCCTGACCCTGCACGCCCAGCACCCTGGGACGCAGGGGAATGCAGATCTGGCCCTCTGGATGCAAAGGAGGTGGGCGACGCTTTCAGCTGGGACCGAGCCCATCGACGCCCTCCCCAGACCTCATGGGCGAGCTGGGCAGGAGGCTGGCAGCTCCCAGGCTTTCTGCTGCTTCCAAATCATTTTGCATATGGCACATTTGGAGCTTTATGCAGCAAGGAGGAAAGAAGACGTCCCAGGCCTCATTTTTAAACTGCAAATTTGTTTTTATTTTTAAATCTTAAAATACTCCAAGAAGCAACTGGGGCAATTTCAGATAAATTGAAATCCTTCATCCCCTTTAATGTGCAGCTGATGCTTTCTGCTGGCAGCGCGCTGCAGTCGTCAGGACAAGGAATGATTTCAGCAGCGAACGTCCCCAGGCTCCCACTGCGCCGGGGGCTCGCAGCAGCAGCAGCAGGGGCAGCGCACGGCTCAGTTACTTTCTCCCCCGTTCATGCTCGCAAGAAAGACGAGACACGTTTAACCGCAGCAGAAGCCCTTTGCTTTCCAGGGCTCTGAAAAATGCCCGTCTCGGAAGTTTCTGTTCCTGCGCGGGGCTGGGGCTGAGCCCCAGCACAGCCCAGTTTGTTTCCGTCCTTTCACCGTGTGCCCGATTCTCCCCTGCTCACAGTGGTGCAAATCAGGGACAGCACCAACAGAAACACTGATTTACAGCCAGCGTGAGCAGAGCAGGATTGATGCACGGGCCGAGGAAAACTAAGACCAGCCAGACTGAAGCCTCTTAGGTAATGAACGGGTTTCGCCGCTGCCACGTTTCCAAGTGCTTTAAGTGTTTTCCCTGCCTGTGCAGCACACGCAAATACATGTTCCTGAGTGCAGAATGTCTCACTTGGGGCCAAATCCTGCCCATGCCCCAGATGGGCTTCCCTGCACCCCGCGGCACCCCGGAGTTGAGGGCGTCCAGGAGCTGCAGGCACCCCCAGGGCTGTGCAGGCTCCGCAGGCACCCCCGGGGCTCTGCAGGCTCCTCACCGGGGCTG